AATTCTTTCACTGTTGGAAAGCTACATCATTCCTGAGTGTTATAGGCTATATTTCATTTAAAAAAAAAATAGGCATCCTTACTAAAATTAAGATAACGTAATCCAAGGTGTTAAAAAATATCAAAAATCTACCTTACATCTACCGCCCTCTACAGGCAGACAAAGCATTTCCTGTCAAACATTCAAAACATATTGAAATAAGGAATTGGAGATACAAATTTTATTTTTTTGTTCAGGTTCAGTAAGAAACGAAGTCATGCCACCCAAGAAGTCGAGTTTGGGTCGTCGTACTCGCAATACAAAAGCAAACAGACGTAAGATTACGAATATGAGTGACGAAGAACGGGCCTCCACAGAGAGAGACGCAATGTCGTTATTGGCCGGATGCATCAGGTCTGCATATACTGTCAGGCTCCTTCGATTGAATCAGACGAAACTTCGGTCCGAGGAATATATCCATTTGCGGGATGCTGTGATGAATGACCGTAATACAACCAACGTTGGAAAGCTCACGATTTTGCCATCCTCATACATAGGTAGTCCACGCCAAATGCATGAATATGCTCAAGATGCCATGGCATATGTTCGTTGCTACGGCCGTCCAGACTTATTTATCACCTTCACATGCAATCCAGCTTGGGACGAGATAGTACAGCTGTTATTTCCTGGACAATCGTATAGGGATAGGCATGACATCACAGCCCGTGTTTTCAGACAAAAGCTCAAGTCACTGATGGATTTTATTGTGAAACATGGAGTTTTTGGATCTGTGCGGTGCTGGATGTATTCAGTAGAATGGCAGAAGAGAGGATTGCCGCATGCGCACATACTGATTTGGCTGCATGATAAAATTACTCCAGACGAAATCGACGATGTTATATGCGCTGAGATTCCATGGGCCGAGGTTGATACGGATTTGCATGAAGTTGTCGTCAAGAACATGATCCATGGCCCATGTGGTACCCTCAACCAATGTTAACCATGCATGGTAGACGGGAAGTGTTTCAAGGGATATCCTCGAGCATTTACAGCCAACACCGTAACAGGGGACGATGGATATCCTCTGTATAGGAGACGGTCAACTGAAGATGGAGGGACTTCGGCAAATTTAAACATGAGAATTGGTGATATTGAGGTAGACAATCGTTGGGTGGTTCCATACTCAACACTATTGTCAAAATCATACAAAGCGCACATCAACGTAGAATATTGAAATTCCGTGAAATCGATTAAATATATCTGCAAGTACGTGAATAAAGGCAGCGATATGGCAGCTTTTGGTGTTCAGGCAGTAAATGGTGACAACAATGCAGTACGAGTTCTCGATGAAATATCTCAATACCAGGCTGGAAGATACATAAGCAGCAACGAGGCTGCATAGAGAATTTTTTCATTCCACATTCATGAACGCTATCCAGCTTTAGTTCACTTGGCAGTCCATTAGGAGAATGGTCAACGTGTCTATTTCACAGAAAGAAATGTGCAAGAAAGAGTCCTGAATCCGCCAGCGACAACTCTGACTGCCTTCTTCACCTTATGCCAGGAAGATGATTTTGCCAGAACCTTGATGTATTCAGAAGTGCCCTCTTAACCATAATATGCCCAGCAGGTGGTCAACTAGCTCATATACCGAGGATACCGATGATCCAAAATGATATGACAGTCCCATTTAAACGGCTTCAATTTCCGGTAAAAACATCTTTCGCATTAACAATTAACAAGTCACAAGGCAAAACCTTCGAATTAGTATGGATTGATCTGCGAAAGAAATGTTTTAATCATGGTCAACTGTATGTTGGTCTATCGCGAGTCGGAGCCAATGAAAATCAATTTATTTTGCTGCCACAAAATAAAACATCAAATATTGTTTACAGAGAAGCTCTAACAAAATAAATGTATTTTCTTTTAGGGTTATGACCTCAATAATTGAAAAAAAAAAAAAAATTAATAAAGGATGAATATGTGTCATATTATTATTATTATTATGAATGTGTTAAAATTGACAAATCTAAATGTAATGTTTAATGCCGTGCGAAGCCGGGACGGGCTGCTAGTTTTTTATAAACAGACTAAGGCGGAAATTTCAGCGAAAAATCAATTTTTTTTTTTCCAAAACTGCCACTTTGTCAAAAAAAAGTATTTTGCTTATTCCATTGATTAATTACTAGATTTGACATTACTCTAACGAAATCTGTTTGGTTTTTTAATTTGGGATAATATAATTCCGGTATATAGTGGTCACCGCAAAACGTCTTTTTTAAGAGGAGCTCCCGGAGATCAGGTGTAACTCTTTTCCAAATAAATATTTTTACTAGTTCTAACTCTTAAAATACAGTTAAAAGATAGTATAACATGTGTATACATTTTTAGATCAATAAGTTAAACAGTTACTTCAGAAAACAATGAAAAATTTACTTTTTTTGGGCCTCTAACTGTATGTAACCCCGTAAAGGTATTCCTGAAGAGACAAGATAGCAAAAGAAAAAAATAATTCCCCATTTAAATTAGGATTCGGATTTTAATATAGGCACAAATTTGTTTTAAAGAGACGCATCAAACTTCGGCCGAAAATGGAAATATTGATATTTGAATCAAAATTGCGGGTTAACGATGAAGACAACTTTCGTTCTGTAACAAGATATCTTGGCGTTCTTAGAGAGACTGGGACGTTTTCTATTCCGTCGATAGCCAGTCTGATTCTTTTTTGTGCAAGTTCGACTGCGATATCGTTTGCATCTATGCCCTGGTGGCTGGGAACCCAGTATATACGCCCTGACGTTGTCGTGCTTAGGATCCCTGCTTGCCAGTACATTTTTGTAACTGACCGCTAACGGTCCTGCGCAAGCTCTGCCGCCTTCCTGATGGCGAAGACTTCCGCCAGGAATATGCTGCATTGGCTTGGTAGCTTATACGACAGCCTCGTCTCGGGGTCTGTACAGTATATGCCCGCTCCAACTCCTCCTTCCATCTTGGAGTCGTCAGTGTATATGTTGAGGTATCGAGCATGGTCCTGAACCGTTTTCCAGTCTTCAGGTCCCACTAATGTTGATGTTTTCACATCAGGGCAAGTTCTAGGCGTCATGTAGTCAGATACACTGGTCATGGTTGCACCAATTGAGCTGTGCCCGTATCCTTATGTTGATATGTTTCCTAGCGCTACTAGGCGTTGTGCAGCCTTTCCCGCGGTCAATTGCGCGAGGATGTGCAGGGGATCAATTCCAATTATAGTCTTTAAAGCTTTTGTCTGGGTTGACCTCAGCGCCCCAAATATGAGGAGCAGGGCCAGTCGCTGGGTTCTCTCCATAAGCTTTTGGTAGGTCCTCTTGTCCACCATGGCTTGCCACCACACCAAGTCTCCGTATAGCAAAGTGGGACGCACCATTGATATGTAGACGCAGTGCATCAGAGCGGGTGAGAGGCCCTATATGCTGCTGAGCATCTTCTTGGATACATATAGCGCAATGGTAGCCTTTTTCACCCTCTCTAGTACATTGGGTTTCCATGCCAGCTTGCTGTCCAGTACAGTGCCAAGGAATTTCCATGGCGGTACCTTGTATCTCTTAGTGAAGAGAATGAGGTCCGTCTTATCCGCATTGATACTGAGTCCTACCTTGTCCGTCCACTCACATATCTCCCTGAGTGTTGATTCCATGATCGAGCTAAGGGTCGATGGACATACTCTCGTGATAATTATGCTTATGTCGTCAGCATAGGCTGTTATCTTCGGGGCCTTCCTCTCAAACCTTTTGATTAGGTCGTCGACCACTAGATTCCATAGGAGGGGCGATAGGGCTCCACCTTGCGGGGTGCTTTTGTGCGCTCCTTTCACCATGGAAGCGGTGCCCCCAATCCGATTGTACCCATTTCCAATCCAAAGGTTGATGGCGGGGTGCGTGTTGGTCGCTCCTATGCGCTCCATTATGGCATCTGAGCTTACATTGTCGAATGCCCCGATATGTCTACAAAGACTCCGAGCGCACATTCCTTGTTATTCAAGGCTCTCTCAATGGTGGCTACTAATGAATGTAGCGCCGTCCCCTCTGATTTCCCTTTTGTATATGCGTGCTGGTTGGTTGACAGTGATCTGCCCACATCGTTCCTGATGTTTAGGTCCATCAGCTTTTCTAGCGTTTTGAGTAGAGAGGAAGTGAGGCTTAGCGGCCTGTAGTCCTTTGGACTGACGTGGCTGCTCTTTCCTGCCTTAGACAGGAAGACAATCCTCGAGGTCCTCCGTTGGATTGGGATATAGCCGGTACTAAGACAAACTGTGTATATTTCATATAGCCATGGAGTGATGACTTCTTTGGTCGCCTGCAGCATGGCGTGAATTATTCCATCCAGTCCTGGCGCTTTTACCCTCGCGATGGAGTCTATATGCCAGTAAATTCTTTTAGAGGATATGGGATCATTTGGGTGATGCGCTACCCTAGTTGCTAGTTCCTGGTGCTCGTTAGCATCGGGAAGTACGCGTGTATTAGTGCTCTTAGGGCAGCGAAGGGGCAGCACATAAAGTTCACTGCCCGTCGTTGCGTTTGAGCTGACTCTGTATGGCGGGTTGCTTTGAAAGCAACTTCCGTATTCTAGTCGTTTCTGGGGCCGTCTCTATGTTGGAGCAGAAGTTTCTCCAAAAGCTTCTTTGTGCCCTGGGTATTGACAGGGTCTCTAAGGACTTTTCTATAACTTCATCGGATTTTACAGTGCCCGGAAAGTCGCGAGTTTACGAGAGATTATTTGTTTAAACTTTTCCCAGTTAGTGTGCCGGGGGTTTCTAAAGACTGTTGGTTTTGGAGAGTGATTGAATTCGCATTGTAACTGTATGTACCTGTGGTCTGAAAAGGATGGTCTCTCCGGGACTTTCGAATCTGATACCATTGTACTTTGTCCCGCTACGAGTGTTATATCTAGCACGTTGGACGAGGTGGGGCCTACAAAGATGTGTTCCTCCCCCACGTTTGCTATATATAAATTGGTAGAAAGAATAAAGTCTAAAAGTGACTCACCTCTGTCGTTTATGTAGGGGCTTCCCCATACGCTGTGGTGCGCATTGGCGTATGCATCCACGACCAGTTGCTGGTCCTTTGGGCCGAGTTCTACAAGACTCTTGAGTTCATTCGGTGGAGCTTGGTGGTTCACTTGGCCACATATGGAGGCATGTGCAAGTGATGCCAGTACTGGGGCACCTAGGTGTTTTACAGATGAGATGCTCCAAGGTTTCGTGTGCCTCAGATTCATCGCATTTCTTGCAGTTGCCGTTTTTGGTGATGCCCAGCAGTGCCTGCCTGCTTGCCTGAATATATTCCATCCTGCGGCCTGTCTGTGTCGCCTGAGGAGAAATTTCATTGCATTGAAGCATGCCTGAAAATTAAGATGACCCTACTCTTAGGAAATGGAGTAAATAGAGAAATCATGCTGCCAACTACCGGGGCTGTCACATATATAAAGAAGTCAAGAGCCGCCTAAACCATTCGCCGCTTAACACTCTGCCCAACCAAATTAATTCACACCATTAACAACCACTCCTGGTGTCTCCTTTGCTAACGCTTTTCCCTACCCTGAAATCACACAAACATCTAACGCTCAGCCGGCAGTACAGCGTCCACAGACACTGCCACTTATACCAAACCTGAATTATTTTTCACTTTTAAGCCAAAACAGCCAAACAATAGCTCGTCCTTCTACGCAGCAAATCCAAACTCTTGCCCCACTAACACTTAGTGGTATTGAATCTACACTAGCTATTCTTACACACATCATGATATCGATCCAAAGATCCGTTCAAGAACTACTGCGAAACCAGAACCTTCTAATGGAACTGCTGATCAAACACAAGTCTGTATGAATGGACTGCTTAAGAATATGCTTCTGGAATGCAAACGGCGTTTTCCGGCACTCAAACGAACTTCTGCAGTTCCTAAACAGCCATTATATGGATATCATGCTACTCTCTGAAACCCATCTAACTAATTAAAACTACTTCCATATCATCGGCGATATATTCAGGACGGCAAATCACACGTAGGTCTTATCAACCCCAAAGGTAGCTAATTCACTCCCGATAATAAACTTGATTTTGTTTCACCAGCTAGGCCTACATACTGGCCTGCACATCGAAATAAACAACCAGACATTATCGATTTCACCGTAATAAGAAGATTTTTGCGCAGGCTGATAAACGTAAAAATTTAGAAGAGCTCACATCGGACCATTCGCCAGTTCTCCTCTGCCTATCTTACCAGCCGCAGCTTCTGTAATGCCCTCAATATCTAACATAAAACAAAAAACCTGGCTGAAGTACATAAAATATCTAAGTGCACTCATCGAACTGTATCTTGAAATATTCCCCGAATCTGACATTGGTAAGTCGCTTAAACACCTCACGGACGTAATGTCCTCTTTCACCAAACATTTTGCGCCAGAACCCTTAGCCACAAACCCTCTATGAACTGCAGGCTTAAGTACCTAGATTTTCTCCTACTTGAAAAACGTAGACTTCGCAGAGACTGGCAGACTCATCGGTTCCCAGCTGCTTAGAAAAGACTAAATGAAACAACTCGAAAATTGTCGAAGGACCTGCCAACCGAAAAGAACCAGGCCCAACAATCCAACATTGCGAAAAAATACAAACACCTGTGCCCATCACTTGGAAAACGTTTTCAAGCCTTTTCCGCCATCCAACCAATTCACTCTACCAAATGTCTCGTCAGCGTCGTCGTCCTCACCAGTTACCCTTGAAACCAGCACAATACTTAAGGCCATTATAGAACACATAAACCCAAACAAAGCTCCTGGTTATGCGCAGTCAGATGCATTGCCTTTATATTTAAAATAATATTGAAATGGGGCTACTTTCCTAACCAATGGAAGAAGTCTGTTAATGATCCCGAAGACAGGTAAAGGCAAAGCCCAGCCTTCCTCGTACCGGCCCATTAGCCTGTTCCCATGTCTATTAAAACTATTTAAAAAATGGTAGATCCGCAACGCAAAATTCAGAAAGACCTGGATATAAGTCCCGTAAAAGAAGAAATTGCTTCCAGGAAAATTAAATATTAAGCCAGACTATCAAATCACCGAAACATTAACGTAACATAGATTAAGATTTGAAAACTTATTTTTAGTTTCTTTAGTAATAGAGAAGATCCAATAAATCAGAATAAAGTAAAAAAAACCAAGCAACGATCATCAAGGACAAATTAAATGGAGAGTAAGTCCTTATCCCACGAAATCCAACAATTGCAAATGATTTTCCATTTTATTTAAAGCGGATTTAGTTTCCAGTTTGGGTTTTTTTACGATGACAATCAATAAATCGGAAGGCCAATCGTTAGAAGTCAGTGACATTAACCTTGAATATACATGTTCTTCACATGGTCAGTTGAACGTAGGAAGTCCCCGTGTTGGAAAGCTGTCTTCGTTTATTCTTGCACCAGAAAACAAATCAAAAATAATGTTTACCATATCGCTCTCAACCGATGAGATTCAAATAAATTACATAGAAATTTTGATTATCACTCTGGAGTTATATATACAAGGTTCACCAAAACAGCTTGTTTATTGTAAGCTAGGAAACCTGCCGAACTTCGTTTCGCCACTAGATGGCTTCGTTTTATGTAACATTTAGTTTGGTGATAAACAAATGAATAGATTTTTTTTATTTTTGTTTTTTATTTGAAAAGTATTGGAGCCACTTTAACTTTTTCACTTGCGCAGCAAAATCCCGCCATTTTTCTTTTGAACTTTCTCAATGATCTTCTTCGTTTAAGTTCTGTGAATATACGTTGTCGTTTTGGAGTATAACCTCAAATGCTGTAACGAATCGCTACACTCAAAATGAATGTTACAGGCAAGTTGTTAGCTCGAGATCGGAGCGCACGCAAGATATTTTTCCGGCTTCGGCTCGTCGGCTACGGGAGTGATGGTCTTGCTCGGATCTCGGATTGCCTTTGCATAATTTAAAACAGAAATGAATGCGTGCTACAACAAACTTAAACCGGGACAGAGAAACAGACAACACATAAATAAAAGTTGAGGAAAAATGGAACTTTCTTCGGCCTACTTGCCCTTTTTTAGCACTTCTGGTGATCTGGATCCCATCCTCAAAGCTATATAGCTTTAGCGACCCCTTTGGCAAGTGCTACCCTACATCACAACGCATGCCAGCTGCGGCCAATACTTGACATTTTAAAACATTATAATAATTTTATTTAAAACTAGAAAATATAAATTCATTACTTAAAATAGAAAACGTATATACACAATTAAACATTAAAACTTAGACTACAAATGATTAAGAAATACACTTCTACCCTTCGATTCGATTTCGGGCATTAATAAAGAATAATGGCAAAACAATTTTGGGCAAGTTGAATGAAAATATTATTTACGCTGACCGCAATTTAATATACATGTTGCAATGATAAAGCCAACAATTAGATAAGAAAAAGCATAGTAGCTCTCAGCATAACTAGCCTTAAGCGCAATCGCCTTATGTATCAGCGTTCTTTTCTTTTCTCCTTCCCTCTTCGTTTTCCGCCGTTGGTTCGGTTAAATTTTGGTTTCTTTCTTTTACTTTAACGGCTACTGATTTGGGACATTCTCTTTTATTTTTTCCAATTTATTTCCCTTTTGGTACTTGAAATTATTTAAATTATTACTGATACACTCACCATTTTCTTAACTCCACCGATGCTTCCTCGGAAGCTAGCTGAAAGTTGGGAGGAAATGACATATGCAAAAAAAAAAGAAATTCACAACCAAAGGGGACGCCCTAAAAGAGACTAAGAAGATAGGGGGAAAACTATCAGAAAATGACGCATTCTGCCTGCGCTATTTAATTTGATTCTTCCACTAATTTCTACAGGAATGCAACGAAATAATATTCCTCTTTGCCGCACCTTGCTCTTTACCTATGTCTAATTTCATTTTTCATTATTCTTTTTTTTCTTTGCAATTTTTTCGCAAGTTAACCTAACTTACAATGTATATTTTTTCTTACACTAATTTTCCATATTTTTCTTCATTGACACTGGAACAAAATGGGGCTCGAAAAATTTCCTTTCTTTTTACACTTATTCGTCGCGATGAGGCATGGGGCTCGAATCAAATATACTTTGGCCGGGATCGCATTGCGGCGGCGAGTTCAAAACGCCCGAAAGAATTACATTAAACTAATTGCAATGCTTTGCCGAAGCCTACGCCTACACCGACTCTGGCATAAAAGCTCGTACGACTGCTAACGACTTCTCTTGCTTAGTTGTGCTCTCTAGAGCTGTTCGCAAAGGGGTACAAAGGTCGTCCTACAGTATTCGGCGACTAATCATTCTTTAACCACATAAAATTATATAAAAAAAGAATATTTTTCCCCAGCTCTGGTGAGCGGATCGACGGGGAAGTCCTTCTCCAAAAATTTAGATCCAGGCGCTTAAAAGATCCTAGAAGTTGTGCCGGCGCCGTTTCCTTGCTTGCCCCTCTCCTCTCCTCGGGCCTTCGAGCGGTACAAACTGCAGCCTTTCTATTCGCGGCTCAGTGGCCAATAAGCAAAATTGTATTCTCAGCACTTTGAACACTCGCGAATACTTTTTCGAAATTTTGTCGCCAGTCGCCAAAATATAGTAGTCACTACGCCTCAGCAGCCAAAAATAGAATTCTGGAAGATGACGCCTACGCTTGCTACACTGGCAAAGCCGCCTTTCGACCTATGATCGCCCAACAGATGGCGCTAATAAAAAGTATCTTATACCGAGCAAGCGCTACAAAATACCCCCTAGCAAGATCAGGCTTGGGGATCAACACTCCAAGACTGATAAACAGCTTGCGAGGCTACTGCTTTATATCCTTGGCGTGGAATCGGCCTACGTAACGCCCCTGAAAATCTTCAAGATCATAGTAAACTTGTCCAATCTTATCTCTTACTCTAGCTTTTATGAAAAACTGACCCAACTTTGCGTTGTACCCAGCTGCGAAATTGCTCTGCTTAAAGTTCCTTCGATAAACTTCTTGGCCTTTACTAAAAGATACTTCCTTCAATCGCAGATTATATCTTCTTTCATTCTTTTCGAATTGGTTTTTCATTATCTCCGATGCTTTGCTGCGAGCAAGTTCTAAAGAATCCTCTTTCGTGAATGCCATAGACCTATCTTCAAGCAAACTAAGAGCTTTTAACACCTTATACGTTGCACCAGATGAGATGAAATGCTGCCCGAAAATCATATAATAGGGTGAAGTGCCTAAACTAGCGTGAACCGCTGATCTGAGAGCACTGCAGATGCTGCTTAGCGCTCATCCCAATCCTTCTGGTCGCTGCGTACATACGATCGTATGGCAGCT